TATCTTTTTTTACTACACTACACTTCTTTTGCTACATTCTGCTTCTAATTTTTGCTGTATTTCTCGTAAGTTTTCTTCAGTACAAATTAACTTTCTATCAGTTTTTCGCTTGTACCGAGTTATGAATTTAAAATCTAAAAATAAAAAGAAAACTTAAAACAAATAAAAAATTGTTTAAGAGTACCCAACTGTGTATAAGAGTTCGCATTGCGTAATCTTATACATCGGTAACTTCGTACTCTTATACATATATGCATTTTGTGATTTTAAAGAGGTTATTACGAGAACAGATTTACGGTCCATTCTTTTTAAAGCAATCACAATTTCATATAAATGCAGTCTAAAGTTATTTTATACAAAACTAATGGTTTGTTTACTAGCTTATCTCTCAATTGACTAAATTGTGAACACACAAAATTATAAATCTGAACGGCAACTATTTGCAGCGACCATATTGACAAAACTAGGACGATAATGCAGTTTTCTGTTTATGACCGTGCAGTATGAATGTATTTAGAATGCCTTCAAGTAAAAATTACTTTAATAGACGGCGATCCTATAATAAAAATGGCGATGCTTTTATATAAACTTACCCTACGGTTAATATGTTATAAAAAACCTGGTTTATAACAGTACGCGCGTAATCTCACAATAATAATAACTGCGCACTCTTAGAAAACGAGAATGTTTTGCTAGTGCTGCCCCCATCTTGGTGCAAAATTGTAAACAACGGCATAATATATACGATTATTCAAAGTTTATTGCAAGTATGGTAAAATATTAACGCGAAATTCTTGCAGACTACATTTGTGTAAAATATCAACTATTTAATATGTTTAATTTATTTGCCTAAAATGCTAAAGACACATACAAACACTTCGCTTTATCAGTACGAACTAAAACTTTGTTCCTGAAGATGATGCCCTCCGAAAATCGACGAGTGCGCATTCTTATTGACCGCGCACTCTTAAAGCACTTTATCCTATCATTTATTCTGTCTTTGCAGTTTTTCGTTTTTTTTTTTATAAAATTTATGAGAGTATATTTAGCTATCTGATAAAAAAATTGATAAAACTAATATGTTTTCCACTTAGATACTATCAATTAAATTTTACAGAAATACTTGACATCATTGGCATATTAGTTTTTAAGAAAACAGTTGGTATTAATATGAGATCTTTGTATATTATTTTTTACAAAGATAAGTAAATTCATGTAATTTTAAACTAAAAATACATGTTTGTTTAAACTTACGTTTATGTGTACAACTATGATTTAGAATTATTATTTCTTTATGTAGATCAAATAAACTATAATATACGCCTTTTTAAACATATGCTTCGTTTTGGGCATTAAGCGATTTTACAAAAGAGATTACCGGGACGAAGGCCTAAAAACTACAAAATGGTCTATGCTTTAACTGCTTATTTTTACCCTGCTGAATTAGTTAGTTTTATATTCGACAAGAATATACAGGATGGATAGATGAAAAAGTTTATTGTTAACACAACCCATTAAAATATTAGTCATATTACAGTACATATTGCTTAATTGTCGTCCCGTATCTGCCTTGTAAGTCATTGCCAATTTTTCGTTATTATCGTGACACATTATTCAAAAACAATTTATTTTTTAATCACTTTCTTTCATTAAAATTCATTTAAGTGTTTTAAGTGGTGCACAGTTTTGTGTTGTGTGATTCTAGCTTAGACCCCATGTAAAGTTTGACCGACATAACAACGTTGACAATACGAACTTTGTCTTTTATTTTTGAAAGCAGTTATCTTAGTAAATTGCTTAAAAAAATAGTAACGGAAGAGTTTAAATGATTTATCAATAGTAGTGTTTATATTGAATTAGTTGTACTGGTCCGATATTAGTGATATCGTCAAAAATGTTCGAGTTTTTTTGACATAGGCATTTGCCATTCAGTCATAACTTTTGCTGGTTCTTTCCAAAGAACAGAAAAGAAAGTAATTGTAATAATGCATATTGGTTATCAGTAAAGGAACAAACATGGTTACTCGCTTCTCGTCTAGGAACCCATCAAGACATTAAATTAAAACACAAACTAGACCGGGTCACGGATAGTAGGTTTAAAACAAATAGGATAAAACAAAGGTTACTATTTTAACTGGGCTTACAAATTGAGCTTACTTTTCGAAATAAATTCTGTTAAGTAGTTATCTACAATCTTGTTATTTAATGACAAAAGGTAACAAAATGTTATAGGCTATAAGGATTTTATGTTTGATTAATTTTTTTATTAATTCGTCAGTTTGTTGTATATATTTTGTACATTCAAAAAAAATGTGGTTTAAATCAGCTTTTTTTTTGACAAACTTCACATAAATTGGAATTTACAATTTTAAGTTATGCCAGATGAACCGAATAACATGCGTGTCCTGATTTCATTCTAATAATAGATGTAATGTATCTACGTGAAACAGAGTAATTTGTTAACCAAAATTCACTCGAGATTGAGATTTGTATGAGTGCATATTGTGAGTTAGAGTGTTGACTGTATCTTGTTTCCACTGATTGTTTACAATATGCTTGATTGCTACAAATACTTCTGGTATGCAGAGCTTATAATCTGTTTTTACACCAAAAACAATGACTTTGTTAGCTAATATATCTACATACTCATTATGCTTATTGATTATGCCCTATGTGAGCTTTAATCCACAAAAATATAACTGTTTTTTGTTCCTGATGTAATTCAAAAATAATTTTTTTGATTAGAAGGATGTAAATATTGGTGCTTTTGCTGGGAAAAGATATAGTCTCAATGGCTATAAGAACCGACTAAGAATCAGATGCAATTATTGCGGAGTTGTCATTGGAATTCTTAAAAAGAATACTTTAATGCTTCATAAATTGCTTTGGCTTCAGCAGTAAAAATAAAAAGAGAAGACTTTAATGCGTCTGTATAAATAACTGTTGATGCTGGTCAGCTTTCAAATAAAATTCATTAAAATTTTGTAGCTGGTTAGCTATTGGCTAGGGTTAGTTAGGGACGTAGATACTCTATATGATATGAATTATTTAATGGAGAATATTTACAACAAAAAACAAAGCGTAAGATTAAAAAAGAATTAACAACAGAGTATGTAAATAAGAAAACTGTAGTTATTACTTTGGAGGGAAATATTCTTCCCAGTTTCGTAGCCTTTTTTCGAGTTTATTTTTCCGTCAAGCAATTTGTTGGTAGATTTGTACAATATTACAGGAGTCTGAAAGTTGGATATTATTCTAAACAGTGCAGAAGTACATAGGAGTCCTGTATACAAAGAGGTGAAATTAAAAATGCAGATCATAAATGTGAGAAAACCAAGTTTTGCATACACTGTAAAAATAGTGACCATTTAACAATATCTAAAAACTGCCCTTTTGAAGTTATACTTCTATACTTCTAAAGTTAGAGAGAGACAGAAGATATATTTTCTCTCTCTTTCTTTCTCGAGAATAAAAATGTTCCTTTTGAAAATATATTTAATATTTATTAATGTTATTATTTTTTTATTAATATTATTATTAGGGTAAATTAAACATATGCGTAAGTAAGTTATGTATATTGTCATTTTTAAATACTTATGAATATTGCATTTTAATTTGTATTGTATTATTATATTGAATTATGTTGCAGTGTATTGTATTGTCTTTTTATATTATTAACAAAATAAACAATAAATTTTACTGAAGAGTATGTGTAAAAGAATTTTTTTGTATTTAACTCCTTTTATACATATATGAAAATAAAACTATATATTTTTAATAAAATATTACTATACTCCTATGTCCTATGACAAGTCAAATGTTTAAATACAGCAAACGATGCACCATATACGTATATACCTAATTTTTTTCTGCTCTCTCTTACCTATAGCATTACATATGTAATGATTGTGCAGATTGACTCCCATATAAATTTGAAATGGCTAACGCGTGTGTAGAAGTATTTTCTTCTATTGAAAAGTCTTACCAAGAACTTCTATTGGCAGTCACACTGGACTGCCACACCCGTTTGCAGAAGAAAATTAAGATCATTATGATAGAGTAACAAACTACCATTCTAGAAGCAAAATTATAATGTGAAAATTCATTCTCCGGCCAAATTAGTCACAATCCTTTTTCGGTTTTTTCAAGTTATAATAAAGAATTTTCCACACTCCCTGTAAATAATAAAAATACTTCTATAAATCGACCCAATATGAGTATGAGACAAACTCAAATTCCCACAAACCATCAAACTAATTTTTATATTCAAATCTTTCTACGGGAAAGAAAATAAAAGCCAACTTCCCTCCTATTTAATCAACAGTACAGCAACCAATTTTTCCTTTCACATTTGGACCTTCAAAACTCTTACCTCTTAATCCATACAAACCAAACTATTGAAAAACTGATAACAAAAATGAATTAGCTAAATGTGTGTCAACTTTTTTAATTAAGCTTTTAAGTAACATTCGTACATTAGAAGACATTAAAACAATATACGATAAAGCAATAATTTCAGGTTGAAAACAGGTATTTCATACAATAGATAATAGTAATTTTAATGTCTCTTAAAACATTCTTTCAAAATAAGTCAGTGGAATGTTAATCTGCGGTTTCCAATAAAGGCAGCTTAACGAATGATTTAAACAAAGAAAAAATAGACATTGTTCTTCTCAGTAAAACATGGTTTAAAAAACATTTGCAATATCGATTTAATGGTTACAATGTAAAATTAAATATGAATTTTTTTAAAATATGTTTTAGGTATTCATTATTTTTAAAGATGTTCAATAGCAAGCTTAAGTTGGACAGAAAACAATGCTTGCAAACAATGGAATATAATCTTGGGCCTATCGCGTTTCTTGTTTCGGCATATGTTTTGATTTCTTGGTATATCTAGTCTTATAATCTAGTACTAGACCACATCTATAAGATAAAATCTATCTTTTAAAGTATTCATGCATCTGGTATATGAAGTGGCCGTTATCAGTCAAAAATTCATATAAATATAGTTTTGAGTGTACACAGTGTCATAATTGTATTTTAAGTGAATAAGTTACCTCTTATTATGAGAATTATTTTAGTAGTTTTGGTGCTTGTAGTGGCTGCTACAGCAGTTACAGACGAAGAAAAATGGACCAATTTCAAGGTATTCATAAAATTTTATACAAACGATTAATATGTCTGACATTTCAAGACAAAATATTAAATTAATTTATTTTATTACTGCAATTGTTAGTATATAGAATTATAGCTACAATGTTGACTAAGTTTTGGTGTGTTTATAGTGGTTTTGTTACATTTGAAAATTTATATAACCCACTGAAAGCGACCCTTTCATCTTATTTTTATATTCATCTTCTTTTTAAGCAGACATGTCTGATTTTCAGTGTCTCTTCACTACTCTGTTTATTCTAATTTCGATTATATGATCGCTTCATTCTACTCTTCTATTTTTTACCCAATCCTTGATGTTCTCCACCTTGCATCCATTTCTATATCTGCCCTTTTAGCTCTGTCCCATAGTGTTTTACGATCAAGTGTTTTTATATCTTCTGCTCTTTCTAACAATATTCTTGTCCTGTATACCTGGTCGTGCTTCTGCAGCGTATGTCATCATTGGTCTGATGACTCATTTGTAAATTTTGCCTTTCATCCCCTTCTCGATATTTTTTTTCTTTTTATTGTTTAATTCAGGCAACTTATGGCTCTGTTTGTTCTATTCACTTTATTTTTCACTTTTGTTTTACTTTTTGTAGCTCGCTAATAATGCCTGGATATTAACCACAATAATATATCACTTGTTCTATTATCTGACCCTTCAGCTTCAAATTACATCTACGTAAATTTGCTGTATAACCATGCATTTTGTCTTATTGGAGCAAATTATTATGATAAATTTTAGCATACGCTATAAATCATCTGCGGTTTAAAAGGGTAATCTTGCGGTGTCTGTATAGCAGATTATTTTGGGTTGTTTTTCTCCCATTTGATATCATTTTTTGGTTCTTACTCTTTTTATTATTTTATCCAAGTTAAATATCCAACCAAGTAAAGACTCAGGAAATCTCCCTGTCTTCTCCCATTGCTAGCTTCAATATGGTCAGTTAGTTTTTCTTCTACTTTTACGTTTATTGTGTTGTTTTGGTAAATATGTTTGATTATTTTGATTATTCCTAATGTTGTCTCTCTTGCGTACAATAAGTACATAACGTCCTTTAATTTGACCTACTTAAATGCCATATCAAGTTCCACGAAACATAGATACCTTTGATGTATATGTTAAAAAAATATTTTTTCAGGTTACTCATAACAGGGTATATAAAGATATTGAAGAGCACAATCATCGATTCGCAATCTTTAAGAAAAATCTCATTCGCATTAAAGAACAAAACGAAAAGTACGAAAAAGGGGAATCAACTTTTAAATTCGGAATTACTCAATTTGCAGACCTTACCGAAGAAGAGTTCCTTAGTCGTTTTAAATCTGCTGGTAGTTCTAAGTTAACGAAAATCAATAGCTATGTTTCTTCTTCTAAAAGTAAAAGTAAGCTCTCTGGTCTATCAGATAATTTGCCAGAACAATATGACTGGGTCCGCACTGGAGCAGTGACACCGGTAAGAGATGTTGGAGATTGTGGTGATTGCACAGCTGAAAGCGTGGTAAGTACTATGGAGCTTTTAATATGTGTATTTCTTATAGTATATTCTCTACCTATACTTTCATATATATATATATATATATATATATATATATATATATATATATATATATATATATATATATATATAGATGTATTTTCCGAAAATATCAAATTGAGGTAGATAAATATCGTATTACCTACAAATTATAAGTGTAAAAACCATTTTCAAATAGAATATTTTTCAAAAAGAATATCGCATAAAAAAGCAATAAGAAAACAAAATACCAAAGAAAACCATAAAAAGTTAGTTTGTGTAGGTTAAAAGATTAAAAAGTACGTTTATTTAGAGCAAAACTAAAAAAAAAATTAATATACAATGTCCTAGTAGAATAAACTTCAAACATGTATGTCGGCATGATATAAAATTAGAAATACACTTTAGGATGCTTCGGTGTTGCCTGTTCTTTACTCTTCTTGTAAGTGCGTCTCTGTGCGTGTAAATAAATTGACTGCCTTTATATTTTAATGTGACAGAAGCATACAACAAATATTATTCTTAGGTTGTCATAAAGAAACTTTATTTAAAATTGTAACATCCTACATACTTTATCAGCAACAATTTAATCGAATACCGATTAAATAACATTTAAAGGTTTTTTGCCGTATATTTAGTGGCTTTCCCTTAATCAGGCCTAACTATACCTAGAATCAGCACTAAAAATGGATCATTTAGTCCGAAAACGTTCTGTTATTTATCCCGTAAGAGTTCTTTTAACTAGATTAGAAGAGCTAAAAAGATCTACCTACCAGTCGTAAAAATAAATACTGCTCAAATAAACAATGTATAGCAGCGGAAACGGATTGAAGACGACCAGAGGAAAGAAAAAAAAACAATAAAAATTAGGTGAATACATATTAATCTACAGTGGACTAGCAAAAGACAAGAGGGCCAAAGACGGTGTAGCCTTACTAATTAATCAAAAGTTCAAAAATCACCTCAAAGAGTGTCAATACAATATATCAAAAAGAATAGTGACAGTAAAAATAAAAATGGAGAAGGAAGACCTTAACATCATCGGAGTATACGGCCCAGAAAATAACAAGCCTCAACCAGTAAGGGAAGCATTTTATGATTAATTACAACAAGCAGTAGATCAAGTCAGAAGAAGATGATAATATGCAGTTAAGTAATACCCAGAATTTTAAGCAAAAACATAACAAATATATCAAAAACGAAAATGGAGAACTGATGATAAACTGCACGAAGTACAAACTAAGAATAAACAACACAATTTTTGCCCACAAAGACCAACAAAAATATACATTTAATAATACCTGTGGACAAAGATCTATGATAGATTATGTTATAACCAACATACATCCATAGCAGATAATCGACGTAAGATGCCTCAACTCAGCACATGTACGCAAAGAATCTACCCTAGTATTATGTAAAATAATAATCATCCTAAAATACTTCCCATCCAACAGAGCAGCGCCCGCAAAAAAGATCAAAGTTGAAAGACTAAATAAGGAACCCACAAAATAATTATATAGGAAAAGAATATCAGAGAAGATGGCTGGGAATGAAATATTAGAAAACGATTACATCGAGAAAATCTGGGAAAATTTAAAAATAATATAATTATCGCAGCAACAGAATCATTTGAAGAGAAGAAAGTAACAAACAGAAACATATCAAAAAAGAAAACACCATGATTTATAGAGAAAGTGAAGACAAAATGTGAAGAAAACAAAACAGCCTTTTCATATTACAGAGCACAGCAACGACAACAGGCATACAACCACTATAAACGAGCCAAATATGAAACAAATACTTTAATTAGATAAATTAAAAAGAAACACTGGCAGAACTAATAAAAAAAAACACATTTAGAAGGAAACATGGGTAGACCACTTCCGATCCCTATTTGCTAATAGCGACGATAATGAACCGCCAACACCAGAGGTGACGACAAACAAAGAAATAAATATTGAGGAGAAAGAGGTAAAGAAAGCATTAAGGAAATTCAAAAACAGACAATCACCAGGAGAAGATAAAATATCGAATGAACTCTTAAAGTACGGAGGACCAGATCTGACCAAACAACTATTAAAACTAATCTAATAGGGAGACAAATCGGGGCCGGAAACTTACAGAGGAATTAATTTGTTAAACACAACATTAAAAAAAAACAATCAAATTAATAACAAATAAACTGAATAAAATTATACCACTAGCAGAAGACCAACAAGGTTTTAAGTCGGAAAGATCATGCACCGACGTTATATTTATAATGAAGCAAGTATAAGCGAAATCATTAGAATACAACAAACCGGCATATCTACGTTTGGTGGACCTTCAGAAGGTATTTGACCGGTTTAAATTAAAAGACGTTATCCTCTTACCGTACGCAAGAAAGAAACCTCAAGGAATAATCAAAGTGATCAAAAATATTTACCAAAACTACACAATAAAAGTAAAAATAAAAGAAGAACTAACCGACTTTATTGAAGCTGGCAATGGGATAAGACAGGGAGATTCTCTGAGTCATTTATTGTTTAACCCGATTATGGATGAAATAATAGAAAAGTAAGAACGAAGAAAGCATACCAAATAGGAGAAAAACAACTTAATAGTATATTACTTTATGAGGCGAAGAAGCATGACTTTTCTTGACGCGTCCGATGTTACGCGCCGAACGAAGTGAGGGCAAGTCAAAAAAAGTCGCTTCTTTGCCGAATAATGTACACTATTTTTTCTTTAAACGTAGCAATTTTCAACCATAAATAGTACAATTCATGCGCTATTTTTACTCGAGATTAACTGTGACAACTATCAAAGTCGTCTATGTTAGCAATTAAAATAATTAAGTCGTCGGTGGGATTTGCGTCTCCCTGGTTACAGTTGTTTGCAATTATTAAAGACAGCTTACTGTTGTTCGCAAGCCGCCAACATCGGGAATGATTGCTGAAAGTTGTTCTCGACCATCAGTGTCATCAACAATTACCAATGCGTATCAAGAGTCGGGAACATTTTTTCACGGTTTCAATTTTGAAAATGCCTCATTAACTAATTGTACTTTTAATATTACTATTAATAAAAATGATGTTTAATTGTTGTTAATGACATTTGTATTGTTGCTTTGTGACATGTTTCATATTGTTGCCATGACAACATTTTTCCCTCCGCCGTAAAGAAATGGGAAAAAAAAAACTGCTGCCGTCGGAGACATCAAACTTTGACAGGATCAAGTTAGATAAGTAATGTCATCATTATTTGACTTTTGAAGAAAACATATTTTGCTATGTAGACGACGCAATACTACTCTCTCAAAGTAAAGATGATTTACAACATATGCTACCCCAATTTAATATGACCGATAGAAAATAAATTTTCTCAAAAATGTTAAAATGCATGGTTAAAACAGCAAATTTACTAAGATTTAGATTAAAGCTTTAAGGTCAGATAATAGAACAAGTGATAGAGTTTTAATATTCAGGCATCTTATTATCTAACTACGGAAAACTCGAAACTAGATGGAGATGCTCAAAATAAATAGAACCAAAAAATATACGCTCAAACAGTCCCCATTTATTTTTAGACAGCATTTTAAAGTATATTTCGTGAGGTTATATAACGAGAAAGGACTAAGTCCCGGCAAGAATGTGTTAAATATATAGGAGAGGTTAAAAAGTTAGTGTTATAAAAGTGTTATGCCCTAACACTTTTTTACTTTATGTTTGATACTTCGCGTTTTTACCAGCTAGCAACCCTAATTTCGATCATTTTTACTCAGGCAACCTTAAATCATCATATTAAGAAAAAAATAGCTTTATTGTAAAAATATGCATATAAATCATAAGCAGCGTTTTTTAAATAAAAAATAAATGAACAAAATAAAATATTTGTCAAAAAATAATAACTCCTAATTAAATTAAAAATATTTACGGCCAATCTTTGACTCACGGCCTATTATCAATGTATTCTACTAATTTTAAATGTATGCAGAAATGTGTTGTTGATTAACTACGTTATGAATATAGTGATACTGTAGTGGGACCTTGTACTAATAGATCTTAAAAAAACTTTAAATGTCCATTACTAAAAAAGCGATACCACCTCTAAGCAAGTCAATATATAGTTTTAAGGTAGATATATACCATTGAAAAGTTTACTGACATCAAAAATCTTTATATTATCCGTTTTAACCATTGTTATACCTTCGATTTGCATCGAAGGCGATATTGCGATCTTGCGGGACACAATCTAAGACAAAAAGAAGACCGATGGAACAAAATTCTTATAAGTTGGAGACCGTGGGAATATAAACGAATGAGATGGGCAGATGATATCAAGAAACACGTGGGCTCTAGGTGGATTACTGTAGCGACAGATAGAGAAGAATGGAAAAGGATTGGGGAGGCCTATGTCCAAAGATGGACCGAAGAAGGCTAATTAGATAGATAAATAGATAAATACCTTCGATAGGTGCGTCAACTTTAATGGTATGTCTTTACCTTAAAACTATATAAAAATTGTTTTTTATAGAAGTATGTTGGCAACACTTTTTTAACTAGCGGCCATTTTGACAGCTGCCAAGTGATTCATGTTTAGTTTGGTTTGGCATTTTAGCATGAATAGACTGACACTTAAACAACGCTGAAAATCATGGATGTTTTCGAAATAGGTATCACGCACTACTTCCATTTTATGGTTAACATAATCGTCCTTCAGAGCAATTCATTCGATTAACCATGAAACGTTTTCACACCGCGTTTATTTTAAATAATAATAAGCATCCACAGAGACGTAGTTAAGTTAAGTTAAGTGCGTCAGAAGAAGTTGCTGCTGATGTAAAGCATAGCATAGAGGAAGGCTCGAATCAGTCTATCCGCCATCGTTCACAGCAGTTGGATATGTATAAATCCACTTTATCGAAAATTTTGTGGAAAGATCTTGGTTTTCGTGCTTACAAAATTCAACTCGTGCAAGAATTGGGCCCACAACAAGATTGTCATTGATCCTGATTGTCATAAGGAAATCTTGTTTAGCAATGTTTAGCGATGAAGCTCACTTTTGGTTGAATGGCTATGTCAATAAACAAAACTGCCGTATTTAGAGTAAAGATAATCCTTGAGTGTATGTTAAAACACCATTATATCTAGAAAAACTGACTGTTTAGTGTGCTTTGTCTGCTGGTGGAATCATTGGTTCGTACTTCTTCAAAAACTATGCTGGTCAGAACGATACAGTTAATGGTGACCGATATATACCCATTATTACTAAATTTTTTATTCCTCATTTGAACAACCATGATGTGCAAATGCTGTGGTTTCAACATGATAGCGCAACATGTCACAATTGATTTATTAAAAGGTAAGTTTGGTAACCACAGAGTTTCACTTTTCGGACCCGTGAATTGGCCTGTGCGATCAGAACACCGTCAGACTATTTTCGGTGAAGATATGTGAAGTTACTAGTCTACGTCTACAGACCTGAAGCAATTGATCACTTGGAGAATAACATTCGCCGCGTTATTGTTGATATACGTCCACAAATGTCGGAAAAGTCATCGATAATTAGACTTTCAGATTAGACTACGTCAGAGACAGCCATGGTGGTTATATGCCATAAATAATATTTAAATTATAATGCCAAAGTATTTTCTTTTGAATAAAGTCACTGTCCTGACACTTTAAAAAATCGTCTTTGTTTTATTACAATTTAAAATTCTCTATCTCTAAAACTAAATACCCATTATTAACTAGCTTATGATAATTAGCAAGAAAAGGATAACAGAAGGTCAACTCTACGTCAACTAATCCCCTGTAGAAAGTGTGACGCACTACAACTACCTCGCCACCATAATGATTAAGAATGGACCAACAACCAGGAGATTAAAGTACGCATCATTAAAACTAGATCCACCTTGAATTGGATAGGGGCCTTCTTAAAGAGTTAGAATATCTCTCTTAATTTAAAAGTAAGAATGCTGCGATGCTATGTCTTCTCTGCTTTTTTTATGGTGTTAAATCGTGAACTTTGAGCAAAGATATATTATGCAGAAAACTGGAAGCATTTAAGATGTAGCTATATCGAAGAATAATTAAATCTCTATCGACTGACCGAGTCAGAAATGAGGAGATCTTCAGAAGAATGAATAAGAACCGAGAGGTGCTGACCACCATCTAATCCCAAAAGTCCCAATTCTTCGGACAAATTATGCGAATCGAATCCAGATGTGCTCTCCTTCAAGCCATTCTACAAGAAAAAATATTTGGAAAGTGAAGTCCAGGAAGAAGAAGGTTTTGGTTAAAAAACCTCAGAATCTGGTTCAATACAACATCTGTGCAGCTTTTTCGCGCTGCTGCAGATAAGAGAAAGATTGTCATGATGATCGGCAACATTCGTAACGGATAGGCACATCAAAAAAAAAAAAAAAGAATTAACTAGCTTAGATGTGGTATTACTTTTTAGTAACGCATACTTCAATTTTGCCTAAGATCTATAGACAACTACATAGTATCAAATGAACTGGAACTTTCGAGGTAAAGTCATGCAATAAGACATTTGCAAACATTAATTTGTAAACGTGTTATTGCTTTTTATAAATAAAATATTTTATTCCAGGTAGCAGCTGTAGAAGGGGCCGAGTTTATAAAAACTGGAAATTTAATACAGCGTAGTCCCCAACAACTGGAAGACTGCATTCCTTTTGATCCAGATGAGTGCTGGATATGTTATGAAAAAGTCCTTAATTACACCAGGGATGTCGGTATTATGACAGAAAAGGATTATCCTTGGCAATTCGAAAGTCAGGATTGCCAAATAGATAACATTACCGTCACCGAACCACTTATACAGATAATTGACTGGATATACGTTTCAGAGGGGGTGGAGGAAGAGTTAGAACGTACAGTGTATCTTGAAGGACCTGTAGCTGTTGCCATAGATGCAAGCATAAATTATCAGCTATATGCAGGCGGTTAGTACTTGAAAACAAATCAATAATCACATAAGAATTTTATTTTCTGGCATTTAAACCATTGACGTCAGATCTAAATATTCAGTTTAAATATAGTTAATTAAATAAACAATTCCGATATCTTTATGTTACCTTATAAATAACCGTTATTTAAGTTACCTTGTAAAAATATCTTATCTTGCCTTTAATATCAGAATTCATTTATTTAAGTAATTTACAATTGAATAAATCAAAATTGGAAACAAAATTATTACCATTAAAAACATGCCCATTACAAAATGTTCTTTCGTAGATTGTTCTGAATCAACAACTAATTAATTAAAGACAGTAAAAAAATTTTTTATGTATTGTTGAACTATAATCAGTAATATTTGTTTGATTACAGGTGTACTGGATGATCCACTTTGTGGAAATACAAAGGATGATTTGAATACCACTCTTGTGCTTGTTGGCTATGGTGAGTCTAAAAAACTGGGTCAATACTGGATCCTTAAAAACTATATTGGTACGTTTTGGGGAAACAATGGGTACCTTTGGTTGAGAAGAAATAAAAATAATCAATGTGGGATTGCTACGTCAGCTGTTATTCCAGTTCTTGATTATGAATAGTATTAAATATAGAATATGTTGAATTTCTAAAAATAGAATATTGAAAATATTTCTTTGTTTTATTTCCCAATTATTCCAAACTATTTTTTTTTATTTAGTTTTACATATCTCGACAGCGTAGGTCACTGACACAGATACAATTTAATTAAAAAACATTACAAGAATATAAAATAACATTACAATCGATAAAGAAATACATTAAGTACATTAAATATTCGTACAATATTTATCAATTATTAGATTCTTAACTATAGTCCGACAATTTTCAATTAAAGGTAACTAATCTACAAATTGAACTAAACGGTAGCGGCAACTATGTAAAATTTCATTAGTAAAATCTTACCGGGGTCATTTTTATTGTGTATGCTTGGCCCATGTAAATATATAAATTTGTAACCCATGTAAGATAAATTTGCCCCCTTAACAATATAAATTGGTGCGATTCACCAGTGTATAGTAAGGCAAGTTCATTGAACAGTTTGAAACATCGGTAAACTTATCAATATTTTGGTGGTCGATAGGAGAAATATGATATCTTGGTTTATTCCTTTCAGATTATATACATATATGCATAGGCGTAGTGTGTTCTTGGGAATATATTAAATAAGATAATATTAAATAGACTTTATTATTAATTTTAAAATAGTTTCTAGGTACGTAAAAAGTTTCTAGTAAAGTAAATTTGAGGCCAATTTATTCTTTATAAAGGATTAAACTCTTATTGGCCGCTCAATATACAAAGAGAAATTTAACAATTAATTTATTTAATTGAATTAAAAGCCCAAAAATTAGGACTACCTTACAGTCAAAAATATGTTTTTTTATTTCCAAGGAAAACATTACAATTTTTAATAAAGGAACATATTGTATCTTAAACCTAAATTATATTTTAAGGTGAAAATTTTCGAAACATTCGGGGTGTAGATGCATTCTACACTTTTTACATAAATAAATAATATTACTTTTGTACATCCTACATTTTTGTAATATCGTCGATATTGTCGACTCTGGTTTCATCTGGTAAAGCAAATTTAGATTGACGTCCATGTAAGTGAGACTGATGTAGCGATTTCTTTACTATTATAAATTAAAATTATAAATCTAGGTCAGCTCATGCTGTCTTTTATAATATGCACTTCTTTATCCTCATCCTGTGATCAATGCATATCAATTTGAAGCAGAGTGTAAACCAGATAATATACATATGCTAATATTTTTGTTTAATCTACGTTATTCATTTCAAATTTGTGACGGCTATTCTGGGATGCATTAATATTTGTAAAATATAGAATGCCAATTACTTTTTTATTCAAAATAGTAAAAATTTCAATATATGACTTGCCTACATGTTTGGCTTTTATATTGTCTAAATATCAATCAAATTGATGTTGAATTACTACTGAGCACAAATAAATATCCGTTATTACAACTTGAGATAAATTTGGATTTACTATTTTTGCCTGGTTTTTCTTTGGACGTTTTATTCGTGGTTCAGAGGAATATCATAATCGGAGTCGTCAGAATTCCCACTTGTATTTCATATATACCTGCAATATCCGATTTTATTAATTTTTCACAAATAATATTATCATCAATGTCTTCAAGGCATACAATTATATACCAATTGGGATAATATACCAATTAATAACAACGAATGGGGAAGATACCTGACGGAACTGTATAAAGCAAAGGAAAATAATAATCAACACAATAACGTACCTAAATTAAGACACGAAATAGAAATCAGTATAAGTAGAAATACTTATAAATTCACTCAAAAATAGAAAGTCACCAGGACCAGACATAATAACCAAAGAGCTTCTAAAATAAGGACGAGAAAACATTATTTTTTATATATTTAATTATATATCATATAAATATATTATTTCCACCTCATTATACGGAAAAAAATTCCATACCTGTGAGTGATAAGTCAAAATGGACCTTACGACCGACTCATACAATGTTATTTTAGCCAAAAAGGGTATATCAGCCTTAGACAATAAACTACTCCAAGCCGTGTGGATCATAACTTTTGCCAAACCCTTTTTAAATAAGGTTTAACTGACAACTTAGGTATTACTATCATTCCCAAATAATTCTAGTTATTCACTACCTCGAATAATCGATTATTTAGTTTTCAAGATTCCCAAATCACATCACCTCCTCTTCTAAATACAAAAATTTTAGATTTATCTAAATTCATTTTCGGATTTTACGTTCTATGTGGAATCAAAATTTCCTTCAAGTCACACAAAACTTTAGGTTCGTTTTTAATAAATGCCAAAGATAGGATGAACACACTTTACAAAAGAGGAATTTATAAATTAAAATGGGATGATTGTGATGCCTCTTATGTTGGTAGAATCATTCGAAAGTTATCTACTAGAATTTCAGAATATTTTAATATCAATACTGATTCATAAATTTTACATGACATTTGTAGAAAGAAAAACTACTTGGAGTTGAATATATTGGAAGATTTGAAGATTACAAGGGAAAAAAATAAAAACTCTTGCTGTCTTACTAGTTAAATCAATTTAAATTGTTCTAAATTTAAACCTATTCTTAAAAACTTTATTGCAGCTTCATCTCGTTGAGGACCCAGTTCGACTGTTTATATTTCCTGCACTGAGTATACCCATTAAGAATTTATTAATTTCATACTTTGATTAACATTTCTATTATCTGACATTGAAGTTGACGTTGATGATACTCTAATATCTCTGCGTAATTTAGATATACCATCTCCACAGTTCTATATGTCAACATCTCCCACTGTTGGTCAGGTGGTTTTGAGTAATGCTTTGACATTTTAATTTTATGGTTTTCTCATTGACTGTGGATTTAACTGGAGTATTTGAATTATAACCCATTTATACACTCTGCTTTCAATTTTGATTTTTAATTCTTAGCATTTCAATTTCATAGTTCGATTTCTTCTTTTCTACAGTATTGATAGTGCTTGGTAGACCCTTTAATTGTAGTCAACCACCCACTATCTAATAGATTCTTTAGTCTATTTCTTGCATTTATACTCTACGTCTACTTCAGTTGCCATCAAACTAACACCCTACGCCACATACATGTAGAAGCAAACAGCCCATCGATTCCACAAGTATCATTTAAATTTTTGATTGTAAATGTGTTTACGATTTCTTATGTGTTAAATAAATATAAATAGTTAAATTATTGTTTTATTTGGTACCAGCTAAGGGTTCATTGTTTAATCCATAGTTTAAGACAAGACAGATTCACACTTAAGAGACTGAGCTAGACGAAGCATAGAAGATAAGATCCCATGGTTGATTGAGGTAATCCACCCATCAAAGCATTAGGAGAAAAAAAATGAGGTTGGACCATGGCAACCACCTAAGGTATCCAGACATAAGCAAATAAATATTTCGGTTACCACTTGGACATACCCGCTTTTCTCATGAACATTTGTTAAGAAAGAAGAACGCCCAATTTGTGATGAGTGTGGTTCACCCCTTGCGATAAAACAAGTGCTAATGGAAATGTGCGAAAAGTTTAATTTTCATAGAAATAAATAACATTTACCAAAAAATTTTAAAAACATTTTAAATTCAAAAAACGCTATAAATAATCTACTTATGTTTTTAAAAGACTTAATTTATCAAGCAAAGTGTAATTTGCACCCTCAGTGCAAGAGTGCAGTAACTCAAAATTTTATGAAAATGAAGTTATCATGGAATTCGATTGTAAATATGCATATCTATCCCCTGTAAAACTTTAGTAACTTTCAAATGCTAAATATTACAACAATAGTTTAACTATTTTACGTTTTTGTACATAAGTTCCGTGCAAAACTGTTGTAACTCGAATGTAACAGAGTTACAACAGTTTTGCATGAAACATTGCAATGTTTTCGATAACAAGCAATGAAAGGCACGAAAAAAGTAAGATTTGTTATTTTAATATCTAAATCTGTGGTGTTTAATTTTAATATATAGCGTGTCTAAGTAATCTATTAACAGCTGAGACAATAAACAAAGATTTACGATTTACCAATTTATTCATGTAAGTCTTATGTCCTTTGTATGACATTGTATTTTCCATAAAATGTGTGCGATCTCATTTAACCATTTATTTAGTAGATTGGATTAAAAACACATGAATTAAGACTAATTATTTACAGCCAAAAAGTATTTTTTCTCATGAAAGGAAAAACAGTTATCTTAAAACCTGTGTATTAACAATACTGACCGATCTATTTGCAGAAAACTTGTTGTATAAAAACTAAATCTCAAATTGTATTAAATCTTTATGTAACCTTCCGGGACGATTGTCTTATCATATTGTCTTCCCGTAACTTTTACTAAGGTAGTGAATTTCTATGGACATTAAAAATATCCATTATTAATCGTCTGGAGGCCTTTGAAATGTGGCTGCACAGACGTAAATACAAAACATACTAAAAATTCCATGGACGGCTATGCTGACAAATGTGGCAGTCCTTGAGAGAGCAAATGCTGCTCGCAAGCTGCTCTTGATAACATCAAATGTAGAAAGATGGCCTATTTTGGACACGTAGTAAGGGGAGACCGATATAATATTTTTCACGTAGACACGTAGTAAGGGGAGTAACTTATTATGATGGGTAAAATCGAAGGATATAAATAATATCAGGGAGTGGAAAGGAATAAGAAAAGCTCAGCAACTCTTTAGAATAGCTCGAGTCAGAGACAGTTTCGCGTTGTTAATCGCCAAAGTCAAGGGGACCTGACAGGGCAAGTTAAGAAGAAGTGAATTTCTATCCTTTTGTTATTCACTGTACTTAAGGAAGCCCGATTTGTATTTTATTGGACCTTTTGTTTTAAATTTAAATAAAAGTACTGACAGTTTTACAAATAACTTTCTACCCTAATATGACATTGTCATTATAAATCCAAGAAATTGTGGCTATCAGAAACATGTGCAGACATAGAAAGATTAAATTGCCGCTAGCGATAAGTCGTTTTATTAGGTACCTACTTATTTTAGGTAGCTATCTGATTTCTTGGAATCTATTATATTATGTAAAGTTTAATACCATACTAAACGCCGATTGCTGTTGGGTATTATTTTTTCTTTACTTACCCGATGATTTATTGCCATTCGGGTATGATACCAGAAGCCCACCATAGTTTTTAAAAAAATATTTTGGCCCAAGATGATATACGAGAAGAGGAGAACAAATAACAGAAAATGTGTCTACACTTTTATCGATGTGTTTATAAATATGTAGTGATTAACAATTTTCTCCGTGCAAAAGTGTTGTAACTTTGAAATTAGTATTTTTTTAACATTAATATTATTTTATTTAAATTTCTATTTTTGGTTAATGTAATATAAACTAAAAAGCGTACATAATCATAAATAACTGTTTTTTTTAAACTTGTGTCTTATTTGATCGATATTAGTACGAAAATAAACAAAATCGTTTTTATCTCGAAACTTACTTATTCTGCCTTACTGTAGTCTTGCACTGAGGATGCGAATTATTTGTATCGTTCCGCTAATAACCTTTTTAGGTTGAAGCGGGTTTCTTGTACATAAAAAAAAACATATGAAAATGTTGTGTTGTCAAAACTGTATTTAAAACATTTAAGGATTTTTTTTTTTTAAATGTTATATCATTATTAAAATTCAAGAATCGGAATCACAGCTGAAGTAGCAACGCCGCATAGATTATTCTTATTTCTCCTTAACCAAAGATATCCGTTATTTCCCCAAAACGTGCCAAAGTAATTTTTAAGGATCCAGTATTCACCTTGCCTTTTAGAGTCACCATAGCCAACAAGCAATAGAGCTGTTACTAAATCGTCAAATGTATTCTCACAAGTTGGATCATCCAGTACACCTGAAATAAGGTAAGAATTACTTGCGGTATACATATTTTAATAAAACTTAAAATCTCTTTGCATTTTTAAACAACCTTTTTTTATACTTAAAGAATAACCTGTTGGTAATTACGCAAGAGCAATAATTTTTAGGACAAATAAGTTCTCATCAAATATGAACGGACTAAGTAAAATGAGGTCTTCTTAGAACTGAAACGATACGAAACAATACATTAAACGAACGGAAAATGGAGTAGGGAAATAGTTGATTCATTCATTAAACATTCATCTACATGGCGGCTTTGAAAAAGTTATGAGACCGAAAAGAGGAGTTTCAATTTCATAAAAATCTCAAGAAAACATTAAGAACTGGGTAACAGGAGTATATAATAATAAAGTATTAATAATAATATGAAACAGAGACTACAGAAAGGATGCTTTAAGGAATCCTGAGTTGCAAAGAACGACTTATTGTCTACTTAGTCATTTCCAACCAGGCATACACCAAAAAATGAACCTTTTTACTGTCTTCATTGACTACAAGAAGGTCTTTGATTCAGTGCCGCATAAATGACTTATAGATATACTAAAAATATATAAAGTCAATAATAATCTCGTGAAATTTTTAGCATAGAATGGCAGAAGAATAAAATTTATCTTTAAATACGTGGTCAGACTAATACAGAAACTATAGATATCCCAATTAACCAGGGCCTTTTTGAGGAGGACTCTTTAAGTCCACTTTGTTTCTGTCTAGCGATGAACCTACTATCTCAGCTGCTAAACTTCACTGACTTAGGATTTACCATCAAAAATAATAATACTGTTTATTTTAAATAATAACATTAAATATAATGTATTTCGGCTCAATTCTGCTGTAGGTGGTTGGCCAACAAAATATTGTCAAATAATTATATTATAAAAATCCAATACTTCAGCGGGCTGCTGGATTCTAAACTCATAAAAATTGAAAGCTACACATAAATCTACGATTTATGCTGTCAAACCAGTTATAGTCCAGGAAATGAAGCATTTCAGCTCGCAATTTTTTCGTGCTCCCTGGATTGACTTGAAATTTAACAGAAGGTAGGTAATAGCCTAAGGATCAAAATCTATATCGAACCAAAGTGCGCTAAAGCCTAGGGGGTGGTTGCCACCCCATCTCCGGGGTGAAAATTTTTTTTACGTTTTAACTACAGGTTTCGATTAAAAAAGTGATTCTAAACAAAAAAGGTGCTATACATTTTTTTTTAAAATGATATTTTTCATGTTATCCGCTATTGAAAGTAATAACTTTTAGACGAAAAAATCCACGTTTTTAATCGATTTTTCGCGAATAATTCGAAAATGGTGCATTTTATCAAAAAAATTGTAGAGAACAAATTTGTAGCTTTTAAAAAGACAAATGCAATTCATTTTTTAAAATGTTTTTGGGATATAATAGGAACCGAAATACGGCCTATCAATGTTCAGCGGTTTTCTTCAAATGCCAAATTTGAAAGATTCAAAATCAAATATCGGGAAAATGATGCATTTTTGGAAGAAAACTCACAAAACCTTTTTTAAAGAGCATAAATAGACCTATCATAAAAAAGACTCTAGCTCAAAAATTGAGTGAGTTATGATGAAAATAAGGTCAATACCTCATTTTTTACGAAAAAATCGAAACAACACCCTAACCTCCTCCATAATTAAAATCGATTTTTACCCTTCTGAAATTCCCTTTGTACATGTATTGTTAATACGTCCAAGAAGTTTGACCCATTTTTTTTTTTTTTTTTTTTTTTTTTTTTTATTTCGACTTTAACGTGCTCGGCTGCTATGGCCACTTACACAGGTACTATAACATGAGTTTTCATTATACAAACAATAAATGTTACATTAAGAATATGTTACAATAATACGGAATGATAATAATATGTTACACAATGTCTAAATTAAAATCTAATTATATTTTTTGATATAAGTGTTCATCTTTAAGGAATTGTAGCACAGCTTTTATTTGGTCAGGGTCGCTTAGGATATCTCGTACTTCACTTTTGAGTTTGTATTGTAATCTTCTGGCCGAATGTTGATGGCATTCAGTGAGAATATGTTTGATTGTCAAATATGATTGGCAGCTTTGACAGGAGGGACGGATGCTAGAGGACATTAGGTAGCCGTGAGTGAGTTTTGAATGTCCTATCCGAAGTCGTCTTATCACAATGAGATCTCGTCTTGACAGGGCTGAATAGTCAAATGTAGGCTGACTGGTTATTGACGGTTGTATTTCGTGTAAGATCGAACGGTTATAGTTCCAATGCTGCTGCCAAAGGAGTCTGGTTCTTCTTTTAGTATATAATTTTAGGTCCTTACAAATTTGAATTTTATCGGTGATTTCAGGTGATGCTGTAGCAAGTTTAGCATAGTGATCTGCAGTTTCATTGCCTTCTATACCAATATGAGATGGCAGCCAAATTATGGTAACTGTTATGTTTTGGGACAAGATAATTTGGTAAGAGTCTAGGATCTTTTGGACGATTGGATGATCGGTAAATATATTTTTGATAGAATGGATTGATGCTAAAGAGTCTGTGCATATGGCAACCTGCTTATTAAGTGGAGATATGTGGTTGAAAGCTTGCAATATACTAAATAATTCGCCAGTATGAACGCTGCTAACGGATGGTATAAGTGATGATTTAATTAATGAATGAGAGGTTGTGACAGAGCAGCCTACTCCTGTGTCATTTTTTGAGGCATCCGTGTATAATATTAGGTCGTAACTATTTGTACATATAATGTCTTTAAATGCATTTATAATGATCTCTTTCGGATGTTTATTTTTATCGAAGTTGGTGAGCGAGGTGTTAAATTTGGGCGTGGAGATGATCCAAGGAGGAGATATAGGGGGATAAAGAGGAAGGGTATGTGTAAGAGAGATATCATTAAGTGTCTGTGCTAAAATTAGTGGAATAGGTTTTATTGGTGGTAAGGAATTGGTATTGTGTAAATTGTATGTGGACATTACAAATAAGGGATGCACTGGATTAGAGGGGTTAGCTGATACCGATGCTGCATAAGAGAGTAGCAGTTGTTTTCGTCTTATATAAAGAGGAGGTTCGTTAGCTTCGCAATAAAGATTATCTATAGGACTAGATCGAAAAGCGCCAATACAAAGACGAAGGGCTGTGTTGTGAATTGAGTTTAGAAGGTTAATATATGTTATGGAGGCGGATATATATATGTGACAACCATAATCTAGCTTGGAACGTATTAGTGATCTGTATATTTTAAGAAGTGAGTTTTCGTCAGATCCCCAATAATGATGTGATAAAGTTTTTATTATGTTTAGTCTTTTGCACGTTTCTCCTTTTATTGCAAATATATGTTGCTTCCAAGTTAGTCGTGCGTCAAACGTTAATCCGAGAATTTTGCATTGTTTAACAACAGGAATAGGGACATTGTTAATCAAAATAAGTGGAGATGGAGAAGGGGGACGTCTACTAAAGTTTATAATTTTAGATTTTACATAGGATAAAGATAACCCCATGTCACTAGTTTTTTTTAAAAGTGTGTCAACAGCAGCTTGAATAAGCTTCGAGGTGGTAAAAGAGTTTTGTCCATGACAGTAAATTACTAGATCATCAGCATACATGATTTGTTTAATAGGGGAAATGAGATGAGAGCATAAATCACTTATTGCTAGATTAAAAAGTGTAGGACTTAGTACCGATCCCTGAGGTACGCCATCAGTTTGAGTATAAGTAGAAGATAAAATACCGTTGACAGAGACTCTGAACGATCTAGAAGATAGAAAATTTTGTATGAAGTTAAATATATTACCATTAATATTAAGAAGGATAAGTTTGTTTATTAAACATTGCCTACTTATAGTATCAAAAGCACCTTCAATATCAAATATGGCAGCTACGACTTCTTGTTTTTTGTTTAAGGCTTCTGATATATGAGTTTGGAGGATTACAAGGTTGTCTTGGGTTGAACGGTTTCGACGAAATCCTGACTGTTCACTAGCGAATATCTTATGTTTTTCAATGAACCATAGAAGTCTTTTATTAATCATTTTTTCAAATATTTTGCACATCGTACAAGTTAGTGATATAGGCCTATAAGAGTTGGCCAAGGAACGATCTAGGTTAGGCTTTTTAATGGGTATTACGATAGAGGTTTGCCATTGTTTGGGAAATTGGTTAGATGACCAGATTAAATTATACATCTCAAGTATTTTGAGTAGGCTACAATTGGAGAGCTTTTTGATAAATATGTAAGGAATGTCGTCAGGACCAGCGGCATTGTTTTTACAGGTTTGAATAACTGATACTAGTTCTTCAAAAAGAAAGGGAGAATTAAGATGTGTGATGTCCATTATTGTATCGGGTGAGGAACAAGGTGGGGCGTTAGGTAATGGATTTCGTAAGGAGGTATCTATTTTACTTTTAAATTTATTGTCGAAGTGCTTTGCTAAGGTTTCGCCGATTTCTTGATTGTCAGTGATTGTAGTGCTATTTACAGCAATGCTAGAGATTTTGAGGTTGGTGTTGTTTCCTTGGATTTGTCTAATCTTTTTCCAAAGATCCACCGGATTGGTTCTTGAATTAATGGAAGATACATATTCTCTCCAAGATGATTTTTTACTTTGTTTTATAATAAATCGGGCTTTGGCTCTGGTTTTCTTTAGTTCAATGAGATTCTCCAGATTTTTGTTTTTACGGTAATTTTTAAGAGCTAATTTTTGTTGTTCTGTTGCGGTTTGGCAAGATGTATTCCACCAAGGTACTGCCTTTCTTTTATGTGAAATATTATTTTTGCCTATGTGCAAATTTGCAGCTTTAAGTATGGAATCGGTGATTAATAATAGATTATTGTTAATATTGTCGGATAGGGATAGAAAAGGTAAGGTGTTATCTGTTTGTGAAGTATAGTCATTCCAGTCGGCATTTTTTAGTCGCCAGAAGTTTCTGGTTATAGTTTGTTCATGGTTGGAGCTATCAGATGATACAAATATTGGAAAGTGGTTGCT